TCAAGCTGCATTATATGTGAAAGTGCCTATGCACACACAACTCACCTGGATTAGTGCTTCACTTAGCCTCTCCTCATCCACCTGCAGCACGATATCCCGGATCTCTTCATAAGGCAGCCGGAATGATCCCAGGAAAATTGCTGTTTGGAAAAAAAAAAGAGGAGAAAAAAAATGGAGGAGTTATTTTCTGGCCCTGTAGTTTAGAACAGTGTTTCCCAACCGGGGTGCCGCGGCATTTCTCAAAAATTGAGAAATGCATTGAGAAGCTGCTAGTTAGATGTATGTACTAGCCCAATGTTTCCCAACCGGGGTGCCGTCTGTCGAGAGCAGGGTGCCGTGTAAAAAATCCTTTTTTAATTTTTATTTGTGCTATCATTATTAATTTCTTTATTTGTTCTTATTTTATTACTGACTGCTTACTTGTAATTTTTTATTTAATTCAAAGTTTGAAATCAAGCTACCAAAATTACCCCACTGTAAAATAAAAAAAATTTGTGAGATAGCTAGCTATAATGGTAATTAAATAATGTTTACATATGTATAAAAGCCTACATTAAAATCTGTCATATAAATTGTTCTCTTCATTAGAAATTAGCCTACTGATTGCCACCATTGATGGACAAAATGTTTTAATAATATTAAAAATATCTGTATGACATTATATTCTGCAGTTATTCCCTGTTGTACCGAATATCTATACTTTTCAAATTATCACATCGAAGTTAGAAATTCAAATATTGTGACAAAATTAATTTTGTAGGGTGCCACAAGTTTGTTAAAATTTCCAAAGGGTGCCGCGACTAAAAAAAGGTTGGGAAACACTGGTTTAGAATGTTAGAGTGCTCAACAGGGCCTCCCTCAGAAATGACCATGGGACAATGTCAATACATTCTCAGGTGGATGGTAAAAACACCATTTGAGTGTTTGTTCTACTTCGGGGCAATTGGAAGTGAAAGAGAAACACAATTTTCTGGCAACAATAAAAGCAGCTAAAACAACCTCAGATTTGGGGCCCTATCACCAGATAATGACTGCACATCTTACACTTTCACCCAGGTTGAAATGCAGAGAACCACAGGAGCAATTTACCCAACAGCTGAATTTGATAACCTCCATCGCTTCTGAGGAAAGAATAGTCTGTAATTATAGCATATAGCTTATAGTGCGCATCAGTGGGGGACCAAACATAATTGTACATTTCTGTATGAAGCAGTCACTGCATTGAGGTTAAAATTACCTTAACATTTACGTAGATTAAAACAGTCAAGAGTTTTCCAGTAGTGTCTGGAAACAATGCCGAGCAGAACCTGATTTGTTCTGGGAAATTATCCCAGTACAAAAAGCGTTCAAGGGGTTGCTCTTGTTTTGTACCACCTACCTCTAAGCTATTTCAGCGAATGTTTGATGGGAATGCATGGCTGAGTGGATCTACTGAAGATGATACGTGATAGTCTGTTCTCTGAAATAAGTATTTATTTGGTCAGATTCCTCTGAATTGCATCAGTCAATGAATGCGAAGGCCCTTCTGCCTGACCCCACCATCCAGCTCTCTGGTGTGCAGGTGAACGAGGTCCAACTTCTGATGAACAGTGATTTAATAAACTACCATTCCCACCAGCTGATTGAGTGAGTCTCTGTGAAACTATGCTCTATTTTCTTCAATTCATTAGTCGGCCATCTGCGTGTGACAATATGCCGGTTTCTTCGGAGAAAGGAGTGTTCTGTGCTTTTTTATTTGCTGAAGATGAAGGTAGAGCAAACACAGCAGGATTTCAGAGCAGGGGGCTCATCTGGCAAAAACCGGACACAATGGCATAGGAAGACATTCTTATTGTAGCTTCGGTTTGCCAAAACACGCAACAAGGTTTTAAAACTAGCCTAACAACACAATACAGCCTGGCTATAGGGATATGCTAATGATGCAGCCATCAGTAGCATGATGAGCCAATAATCAAGAGTATCACATGCCAATAAACAAACAAATGGTTAGTCACTGAATGTGGTGAGTTTAACAACCCCCAGTCAGAACTTATCATATTTGCTGCAAAAAAAAAATAATTATTGGACGACAAATGCTTTCGCCTCATCTGTTGATTCATTAGCATAATTTACACATTCACAGTGAGTGAATTATCCTGAGTTTTTCCTATAACAAGTTTGTCCATGACAGATGCATCCCATAATTCATTTCCGTTCATATCCACTCGTACTCATCAGCCCGGGGATTTAGTCACATTTTGTATTTTTTTTCAACACAGCAAACCTGGCAAGTCCGCCAAATTGCAAGCATTAAGCAAAGAGAGCACTTCCGCCCCATATATAAAAATGCTATCTATACTAAACCACCTCCACACACGAGCATAATTTATAGCAACGCTCACTTTGTTTTAAATGCAGTCTGCTACATGTGTAAAAAAGGAATGCTGACGGAGGGTCGACGTGACTCTTCTGGAGTTGGACCAAGGAAGGGAACAGAATGCTGGGATTGTTAAACATCTAATGGACCACAGAGCTCTGCTGGGTATCTCTGTGTTAATAGAGGAGCATGACTTCATGTAGCGGTTGCCTGCTTTGCTCAGTTCCTCCTACGTTAACTGCACTCGTGAGATTCACAGCCTCCTTGTCACATCTGGATTATTGTTTCAGCTGTGCACGGAGCCACACCTGGGCCCCGGGTCCAAAGTAGCAGAACAAATATCCAGCTTCTCTTTACACTCACAGTGATGTGTGGGATCATGTGTGTGTCTGTGTGGGATTGCTCACAGCCCCCCCAGGATCAATGAACTCAGCAAGTTTTCCTAGAATTTCATGGCCAAAAAATGAAAGTGTGGGCATTGTCCAGTCAGCCCACAGACCGTACTCTCAGCATGAGGGGAAGACAGCAATAGATACCTGGGGGTATGAGTAACGCTCTCTTGTCCAAGTAAAGAGCTGAATTGAGTTGCACAAGTACCTTGGGTCATTTTCACAACCCTGGATCAACCCTGACATTGAGGCCCCTTTTCACAAAAATAAAAATAAAATAGTTTGGCATTTAAGATTCTTTTACACAATCTCTTTCTGCTTTCCTGTCCCCACCTCCCCTTTCCTTTCTCTGTAAGAGATGACAGATTTGTGGCTGAAGTGAATGTGTAACAGCACTCCCACTCGTGTTCTAGCATTAGTTACTCCAAAGCCTGAAGTGATGTGTGTGGTACAGAATGCATGTGTGCTGCATCAAAGGCAGGGTAACTAGCAGAAATGAGAATGAGAGAACGAGAATGTGAAAGTGAGTGAATGAGGGGAAGAGAGAAATGTCACTGGCATCTTTTCTGTTAGGGCCATCTCCATCTGCTCCAGCTCTAATCAAAGAAGAAAAGAAGAGAAGAAAAAAGAAAACACACACAAACCTGACCTTGATGTCATCTACCCTTGCTGCATGTTATATGAGCATGTTACATGATTCATGAAAATGGCACCCCTTTTGTTGCATTAGTACTGACTGACACAAGCATCTCTATTATCACTGCTCATGGTAAGTGTTAAGGATTTGAATAAATTCTAACAGTACATATTGTATTAGCCTTCAGTGAATACCTCATTCCAAGATATGAATGATACATTACACTGTGCAGTTTTGTTAAAAAAGAAGTGTGCTAATACTGTTCTAAGCAATGAGACTCACAATGTTTTTATGACAAACAAGAAACAATCAAACAAACAAATCCATGAATTAATTTATCCAAGCCATATCTAGGGACCAGAAATTCATGAGCCATTCAGCAACCCCATATAAAACTCTAGTAACTGCATATGTCCAGGAAATCCCCCAAGAATCATTATAGAGAAGTACAAGCACAATTTATGTCTGAAAATGCACACACCTAGTTATATTTTTATTATCCATGTTAAACCAAAATTTGGATAATGTGGCTTAAAATATGTTCTTCAACAGCAGCTGTGTAGCCAGACTTAGAGCTTCATCTTACTCTATTCGCACATTTAAAGTGCATTGATGTATTCAATTGGAATCCAAGTACTCTTCCGGCAAGGATGAAAACAAGCATGGGTAGGACATACACTCAGGTGGCTGGTTATTTTAGCATTTGCTATGAATATTTCATGAAGTGTGATATTGTATATCTAAGGTGTTCTCCTCTCCAAGACAAAGAAGCCAACATTTCCAAAGAAGAATAAAATTGCATTCTCATGCTGCTTTCATCAATCAGAGTCCAAAGAGTCGCAGGAACTCTTGAGAACACAATGAATTCATACACACACACACACACACACACATAGTCTCTTCCCTGAAGATTCAAGAGCGGGAGAAAAAGTTGCAGTGGAAGAGAGACAGAGTTACTAAATGACAGGAGGGTCTGGCAGGCTGATCAATACGGGCTACAAAACAAGATGTGTTCAGTCCAAACGGTAGTTATTTTTGTCCAGTAGAGAGTCAAACTCAGTGTTTCAGTGTCATGGGGTAAAGACAAAGTAGAACTGTAAAAATGGCCCAATTTAATTAAACTGATTTTGATAAATAAATGTATTGTGTTTTATTTAAGTAAATAAATTCTACTCGCCATTGGTTTTTATTTACATGTTGGGACAAGAATGAATGAATCAATCAAAACAATCAATGTCCCAGATGGAAGTACCCTTGGTTTGGGGGGAATGTTTTGCTTTGTCTGTGGTTAGGATGAGGCAGAAACAAATAAAATGCTTTGTCCTTTTTCCTGTTATCCTCCTATGTGTTTACGATACAACTGATATCAGAGGAATCGGGTAGAATCCATTATCAAAAAACAGCATCCACAAAACCTGTTGCAGGAAGAGCAAATACTGACGAATGCTGCTTGACAATACAAGAGGATAAGAGGAAATTCAAAACTGACATGATATGTAGGAACAAGAAAACAAACAAACAGAAGAGAACAGAGGAAAAGTGTCAGTCAAAGCCTGACAACATTGCGTCTATAGATTCAACAGCCTGAACTGCTTTCAGTACAGAGAAAGTTGCTTAGATCCATCTTTTCCAGTATGGAGCAAAAAATACCTAGGACTTCTCTTAAAAAAAAAAATAATAATAAAAGAGACAATTCTTTAGAGTCAAATGTAACTTCTTTGGAAGGAAGAACAAAAAACACAGATCTGGAGGCTCTTGTCTGGGTGTTAGGGGACACAGATGATATGGAATGCTGATAACTTACACAGATTCTGGGCTGTCTTGGCATCCAGAATTCGCAGCTCTTTTGCTTTTTTCTTGAATTGTGTCATCCTGTCATCTGTTTCTTCCACGTCCTTTTTCACTGAAAGCAAAGAGACAGAACCAGAGGGTAAGCATTAATTATCAAAACCAGTAAATGCATCTTTTTTTTTGTGTGTGTGTGTGGGGGGGGGAGGGGGGGGGGTAGACATTTGCAGACGCTGAGGGTTTAACAAATTTCAGACATCAAGCATAAACAGAATGACTGCACAAACTGTGATTACAGGAAAAAGAACTAGATTTTTGAATTTTTTTAAGAAACCACCACCATATTTTATGGTGTTTTGAAAGGTTGCCAGTTGTACTGAGTGGCACTTATCACATTGTTATGCTGCTGCTAAGGTGTTCTGGCTGGTTCCTAGGTGCTTGCTTAATGGCACAAGATAAAAACCCAATATTTCTGTGATCAGAGATGAATAATCGAGCCATTTCACACTACCTTTGTCTTTTTTGTATTTTTAAAGTTGACTGCTGTCGACATTCATTGTGTGGCCAAAACAACTGAAACATTCTTCAGAATATCATTTGCGTTTCTCAAAAGAAAGTCAGTCACACGAGTTTGGAATGACACAAGGGGGCGTGAATGATAACAGAACTGCCAAATTAGATACTTCATCTAAGTCATACGTTTGAGGAAAAGTGGTGCCCACCTAAGCGAGCATTGCTAATAACAAAAAACAAAGCCTAAAAACTGTATCAGAAGAATGGATTGTATTATTTTGGATGTGGTCTTGTCATACGGCTAACCAAAATGAAAAGCATGACTCCTGTGCTTTGGACCACACTTTTTATGAGCTCCCGCTGTAGCAATAAAAATGACATATGTTCCTCTCTATAAGGTAATTATACATATGGCTCCTCGATAACAGATCAAGGGTGGAAAGCATAAGGACAGAGAAACGCTAGATCATGGCAGATGTGTCACGATTAAACCAAGACACTGATGCATGTCAGACTTCCTTTTTATAGCATGACATATAAAAAACGAGGGAGGGAGGGAGGGAGGGATGAGAAGAGAAAAATGAAGGTAGGAGAAAATGGAAAAGGAATAGAGAGAGACAGGTGAGATAGAAAAACAGCAAGAGAGACAGACGTATAGAGACGACGTGCTAAAGAGACCATCGGCGCATGACTGTGGCACCGCTTGGTATATTGGAGGGAGATTTTGTGGGCCTGCTATTGACAAACACAGGGCTTGCTCTGTCAACGGCTCAGAGCCATGGAGATAATTGTGTTATTTCTGTAATCCTAAGGAGCAGCAGGAACAGCAGCTTGGAACAGCCTCAAACCGACGTTAATTCCATACGTGTGTGACTAGTATTCGAGGGACAGGCTCCCTTTGAGGCTTGCTTGAAGAGAGCCTCTCCCTGAGTGACATAATGTGTCAGCAAAATCCTCGGGCGAACCATTGTCACAGTCAACTACCAACTAACTAAATTAGAGCGCAATCAAGGCCGTAGCTCTGGGACCCACCCGAGGGAAAGAGAAAGAGAGAGAGAGAGATTCTGGGTAATACTCAGGTGAAAACAAAGACAGAAGAAGCCTAGGTTTGGCAGATTGCTTGTGGGAGTAGGAGCGCACCTCAGCGCTAATCATCACAACTCCGCTATTTATTTAAGCCCAAGATGGAAGTCTCCCAGGAAATCGCTTACAAACAAACCTCTCCCAAGAAATCTGCATATGTGAAGGAGCTATCAAAGCAGGAGCATCTCCTAAGCAGGAGGATTTGCTGCTGGCTACAGGCCCTTTGCTGTTGTGTCAATAGCATTGTGGTACTGATGAATGCCGATTTTGGACTGGAAGTGATGGTGACTCTACTGAGCCTGCTCAGTGAGACAGATCTTCTGCAAGTTTGATTTATTTATTTATGTTGATGCTAAAAGCTCAGGTGTGCTCAGGCAAAATGGATACCAAGTAATTAATTTGTGTGAGCATTTTAACACCCTGACAGGTGATAGCACTTGCAGTTCCAAAAAGTTATTAATTATATCTAATTAAATCCAAAGTTTTGGCATGAAACTCTAGATGGTGCAGTCCGATAGGTCTAACTCAATCTGACATAATGACATCATTATAACATGGCACAGCTGACTGGTTCTCTCCATATCGGTAGCCAATGAGCTTGCTGCTCAACATTCAAATACTTGGCTAGTGTTTGCTGTTGCAGTAGCAGGACACTTCAAAAACCCTCCACCTTCCCCAGCTCCACCTGTATAGATCTGCAACGGGGTGACCATGCATGCTATGGGGGTTAATCATATATGTTATATGCACAGAAGCAGTATTTCTTACTTGCTCACTGCAGCATGTTGTAGATGTATCGGCAGTAGCAAGTCTTGGTACTTGCTCTGCCGCAGCAGCAGCATAGCAGATCTATTCCGCCAAGACCAAACACATTAACATTGTCATTGTTGTACATTATCAAGCCAATACATCCGAGAGTTGTCATGACAGAAATACATTTCACAAGCTGATAACAGTGCTATGGATTTATAGTGTATTTTAGAAGCTGGAAGTTTTACTGTGACTTTTATTATGACCTTTCTCTGCTTTCCTTACTTTTACGGTCTCTCAAATATGTCTCACAATGATGACACCGTGAGTCCATACCAGGGTTTTGCACCATTCAGTAGATAGATAGATAGATAGATAGATAGATAAGATGGATAGAGATTCATGGTTATGATAGGGGTATACAGTAGGTACTACTCAGAAAACAGCTTCAACATGAGAAACCCGAAGTCCAGAGAAAATAAAATATCAGGAAACATGGCTCCCGAAGGATCTTAATATTTTAGGGGAAGGGCTGCAGGTGAAGGAACAGCTTTCAGCCATATTGTGGAGCTCAAGATACCCCCACCACCCCCTTAGGCGCATTGTCACACCCTTCCACCAGCTGGCTCTCCCACCTGGGTAGCCCACGCTCTCAGCAGGATCTTTTCAACACATCCTCAGGCTCTTCAGCTGTTAGAGATCCGCAGCCCGCAAGGCCCGCGCCTCCTCAGTCTGAGCGGTGCTGGATTAATGAGAAACAGGCACAGCTCAGCCCATCGCTACTTCCACTTATAGTGGAAAAGGGCAGTTTGGGAGGCTTTGTTTTGTATCTACAGCAGGCTTGCTGATTCAATTACACTCCACCCTACATGTTTCTGACAGAGGCTCTTATCTGCTGGCTTGCAACCATTTTGTAGTGTTACAGGAAGTGTGATCTTGCAGAACTGAATAACTAGAGAAGAACAGGACATGTCTTTGTTTCTAATACAAAATATTAGTTCATGATGGGCTACAGTTCCACCCTCTGTCCATCACTGATAATGGGAACAGGACTTCTGCCAAAAAAAAATAAAAAATGCATACAAGGAAAACAAGACAAAAATGTGTAACAGCCAAGTGAGCTAAGCCTCTTGATCTACCCACTAGAATATGCTTAGAGTATTGACACAAGCAAAAGACTCACAAAGCAGGATGTGTTCGCCACCTCTCCAAGAGGCTAAAACTGCTCCTCCGTTTGTTGAGCTGTTATTTGTGTCAAAACTGGATTTTTTTTTAAAGGCTTTACTAGCCATTTTAAAGGCACCTGACCATTAAAACAAACAAAGACTTTAATGACATCACATTCTAAATACATAATTAATATGGAGTTGGTCTCTATAACAGTTTGCACTCTTTGGGGAAGACTTTCCACAAGATTTTGGAGTGTTTTTGTGGGAATTTTTGCCCATTCATCCAATAGAGCATTTGTGAGGCCAGCCACAGATGTTGGATGAGAAGGCCTGGCTTGCAATCTCCAATCCAGTTCAACCCAAAAGAGTCTGATGGGATTGAGGTCAGGACTAGTCAAGTTCTTCCACACCAAACTCATCCAACCATGTCTTTATGGACCTTGTCTTGTGCACTTGGGCACAGTCATGCTGGAATATAAAAGGGCCTTTACCAAAGTGTTCCCAAAAAGTTGGAACCCCACTGACTTCCTTTGTATGGCCATTTTTTTTTTAAATTATATATATATATATATATATTTTGTGTTCCTTTGATTGTATGGTTCCTGTCTTTGATTATATAGAAAACAGTTATTTAATTCTTTAAAATGTATTATTTTTTATTCCACAGAAGAAATAATATTACACAGGTTTGCAACCACATGCGGGTCAGCAAATGATGACACATTTTCATTTTTGGTTGTGCTATCCCTTTAAACGGTAGGCTTAATAGCCTGCAGTTTAAAGGATTAAAATCCAATCATCACCACAGTTGAATAACAAAAATAAACAAAGATCTACATTAAGTGCTTCCCTAAAACACCACAATGAAGTGCTAGAGAAATAAAGTTTTATTTGGATGTAGATAAAACCTTTTGTTAGTTTTGTGTTAAATACAGTAAAACAAAATAAACTGGGCCTCACAGCATTACAAGGATACAGGCTGTGTATAGTGAAACAAATACAGATGGCTCGTTAAGATTTTATGGAGAACCGCATTTATACAAAGAAATAAAAGTCAATTCAAGACAAGTTGTGTACATGGAGGACATAAATAACATGAATGAATACAAGAAAATGTAATAAATAATTGAATAATTGGGCCAACTATTGATGAAGAAAAAAGCCAGGCGGTTTTTGTTATAAACTGACCGTGAAGGACTGATTATGTTCGGGGTGTTTCGGCGCAATAAAAACAGCAGTATTTCAGAGTGATGCTTCAGTAATGCGATCCATTAGAAGGAAAACACAAAGTCGAGAGGTATTCAGGGGGAAGGTGGTTTCAAAATGTTAGTAAAATATTAGCAGTACAAGATTGCTCCTGCCAACGTAATCACATACATGTGTGTTGAGTCCACAGACATTGTTATATGTAGGGATGAGAGAATAGCTCTTGGCGGCCATGAGAGGTGAAATGCAATAGCAATAATAGAACTTACAATAAGAAAAGCAATAAAAAAGGCAACAGAAAAAACACACAAGCCCTTTCTGTGATTTTTGGACAGAGGGCAGCCCATGGGAGCTCCTCATTTCCAAAGTTCTTCACATTTGGGCGTAGAGATTG